CATTGCAGCCTCAACCTCCTGGGCTCAGGGAACCCTCCTCCTCAGGCTCCCAAGTAGCTACAGGTGCCTGTCACCACACCCGGCTCATTTTTAGTAGAGTTGGGGTCTCACCTTGTTGCCCAGGCTAGTCTTGAACTCTTGGCTTCAATTGATTCTCCTGCCTCAGCCTCGCAATGTGTTGGAATTACAGGCATAAACCACTGAGCCCAGTCTTGTCTTTCTGCATAGGCCCTCAGCCCCCTATTGTAAACCAGGTACTAGAGTGATCTTTCAAAAAGTACATCAGATTATGCTGTTTCTTTTCGTAGAACCCTCCTCACTCTGATTAAAGAATCCTACTGTGGCCTACAAGACCCTAACTTTACCAAGAAGCTGCTTCCTTCTTCACTCACTGCCTTCCACACATGCTGGCCCCAGGTCTACAACTTTCTCCACTGCCCCATGGCTAGTCTCAGAATACCCCTAGCACATCACCCCCGCAGGGTCTTCTTGTTGGATCTCCTGTGCCTGGAGATTCCTTTCTCCCAGATATATACTTCCCACCATTTCTGCAGTACCTAACTGCCTTATTTCTTCAAATGCCGTTCCCTAAATCTCCCCAGGTCACCACACCCAGCTCTCTTACTCTGCTGTTTTTTCCCACAGCATTTCTTTTTTAAAATTTTTTTTCTTTTTTTTTTCAGTTCCCAATGTGACAGTATCCATAGCATTTCTTATCCTTCAAAATATATATCAATTTGCTTATTTGCAAATTATCTGTCTCTCTCCCTATTAGAATATAAGCTTCATGAAGGCAGGGACTAATTGATTCCTGCTATACCCTTAGGGTCTAGAATGTTGCCTAGGTCATAGTAACTACTAAAAAAAAAATTCTTGCATAATTAAATGAATGAATAAATGAAAATGGATGCATACGGCATTCTCGATTGTCTGAGAGTTTATAAGGAAGTCATTACCAGTCACTCACAGAAATATTGTAAAGGCAGCAACCCTAATGGAAATCAGTCAGAAGCCTTGAAGGAAATGACTGATTTTACTGATGTTCTTCATTTGAATGAAAAAGAAAAGCTTACGGTAAGATTTACTAAGATCTGACTGAAGGCTTTCTTAAGCTTAGTTGGAGATGTCCATGGTACAATTTAAGGGGCACATTATGGAACCACCTGCCTAAACCAACTATCTTCTCTGGTTTATCATAATGTCTAAACTTCTCAGTATTTATTATTTTATTTATTTTACAAATATCCCAGGCCCTATTCTAAGGAACTGGGATATAGCAATCAATGAGTCAACACCCTGTCCTCACGGAGCTCACATGTCAGTTGGGAACAGACAATAAAGGAAGAAACACATGTGTAGTAAGCAGCAGGTGGTGATAAGAGCCAGGAGAAAAATGACAACAGGTGAGGGAGGTGGAGGTAGAGAAGAGGGGCTGTGTGGCTTTTCAGACCACAGTTAGGGAAGCCAGTGTTAAGGAGGCCCGGATGAGGCATGGGAGGAAGCTATGCAGACAGCATTCAAGTTGCATGGAGGGGAGTGAAGATGATCTCTGGCTGTCCAGGAGATGTAGCCTAGGCGTCTGCCATACTCTTGGAGTTTGTGCGTTTTGTTTGTTTTTGAGACAAGATCTCACTCCGTCACCCAGGCTGGAGTGCAGCGGTGTAAACACGGCTCACTGCAACCTCAACTTCACAGGCTCAAGAGATCCTCCTACCTCAGCCCCCCAAGTAGGTGGGACTACAGGCACACGCCACCATGCCCAGCTAATTTTTGTATTTTTTGTAGAGACAGGGGTTCTGCCATGTTACCCAGGCTGGTCTTGAACTCCTGAACTTAAGCGATCCACCTGCCTCGGCCAGCCCAAGTTTGTGTTTTTGGCCTAAATTCTGTTTATGATGTTTTACTCTATATTATGGTGCCCATTTCACTTTCAAAGTAATGTGCTATAGTCATATCCAGGCTATGCGAACTTGAGGTTCTTTCTACATATATCTCAAAATCAGGAAGATGCATGCTGCCATGCCAATCATTGGGCAGCTGCCAATCACCAATGGTAAAGAGCTGGGAATCGCACCACAGTCAATAGTCAGAGGCTACACAGCTTTTTGTTATTTGTTAAAATAAAAATGAAAATGAAAAGCAAGGTGAGTATATAGCTAGAATTTTTATTTCTCTCTACCTCCAGTTTTTCAAGACTTTAGGTTGTAGCATTCCAGTTTATTGGAAACAACCTTCATTTCAATTATGTTTACTCAAAGCCAAATTCAAGTCAGTTTTCAGGATGTTTGATTTTTCTCCTGCCAACATTTGGCTGATTATGTTGAACTTTATGTTTTCTGCGTAGCTGTTTTGTGCCAAAAAAAAAAAAAATGGTGTAGGTATAACTATCAAAGGTTTGTAATTTTTTTCATCCACTGTGTGACTTGAAACAAGCCCTATGACCACTCTGTTTCACTTACACAACCTGTGAAATAAGGATAATATCTGACATGTATCCTGTTTCAGAAATATTCTGAAAGCATATTTTATGCTCATAGAGGGAAAATGACACATTGCATTTAAAGCCTTATTAATCTTCTCACCTGAGGATAATTTTTATGTCTCCATATGCATTAGTAGGTAGCCTAAGATTATGGGAAAATAGGAAATGCTGAATTATTTTGTAGGCAATTTCTAGGAAGTGCTTTTTTTTTTTTTTTTTTTTTTTTTTTTTTTT